TAGTAGTAGTAGTAGTAGTAGTAGTAGTAGTAGTAATAGTAGTAGTAGTAGTAGTAGTAGTAGTAGTAGTAGTAGTAGTAGTAGTAGTACCAGCAGCAACAGCAGCAGAAGCAGCAGCAGTAGCAGCAGCAGTAGTAGCATTAGTCGTAGTAGTAATAGTCGTCGTTGTCGTCGTCGTCGTCGTCGTCGTCGTAGTAGTAGTAGTAGTAGTTGTTGTGGTCGTAGTCGTCGTAGTTGTAGTAGTAATTGTAGTAGCAGTAGTAGTAGTAGTAGTAGTAGTAGTAGTAGTAGTAGTAGTAGTCGTAGCCGTAGTAGTAGTAGCAGTATTATTATTTATTATTATTATTATTATTAGTAGTAGTAGTAGTAGTAGTAGTAGTAGTAGTAGTCGTAGTGGTAGTAGTAGTAGTAGTAGTAGTAGTAGTAGTAGTAGTAGTAGTAGTAGTAGTAGTAGTAGTGTTGTAGTGTTAGTAGTAGTGGTAGTAGTAGTGGTAGTAGTAGTGGTAGCAGTAGTAGTAGTAGTAGTAGTAGTAGTAGTAGTAGTAGTAGTAGTAGTAGTAGTAGTAGTAGTAGTAGTGGTAGTAGTGTTAGTAGTCGTAGTCGTAGTCGTAGTAGCAGCAGCAGCAGCAGCAGTAGTGGTACCATCAATCGGATGCGACTGCCCGAGTGGGGCCGTCCGTCGTCACGTCCCGCCGGGCACTTGGCGCCCCTTCCCCGTTGGGCGGCGCCGTGTGGATCGGGCACGATCCGTACAAGGGAGCCGAGGAGGGCCAGGGCAACACGCTGCCAGAGGCGCCTCGGGGGGGCCTCTGCTCTCGTGGGCCATCCTGGAGCGTGGGCCGGCCGGAAGCCCCCAGGTCAGTCGCTCGCGGGCGTGTCGTTGGGACGGCAAGGATTTCTCACGCTTCGCCGGGTGCACGTCTGGAATGCGTGCATGTGTGGTCGGGCCCTCCTGGGAGTCTTTTGGAGGCCTTTTGGGGTTGCTTGGGGGCTTGTCGGGGGCCTGTTAGGGCGTCTTTGGCTGACTTCGGGCGCTGTTCGGCCGTCTGGCGTGTGGTTGGGATGACAGAGATTCTCCAGGCATGCGCCACATCCGCTGGCCCCTTGGTTTAATTTTCGAATTTCCTTTCGCCGCTGCATGGCGTGATCGGACGGTGGGTGCGACATCGCGGTGGCGAGAAGGATGAATTTTGAAGTTTGGAGCACGGCGGTGATGATGCTGATATCGGGCCGGGCGAAATGGGGGGGATTGGGAAAGGGGGGGTTACGAAATTTGCTACATGCAGCTGGTTTCGGCCTCACCGAGGGGCCCATTCCTCGATACATGGGCGCCTCCCGGCGCCGGGAGGCGCCGGGAAAATCAGCTACGTGAGCTGATTCTCAAACCCCCCCTTTGCTATCCCCCCCTTTCGCCCGACCCGATGATAGCAGAGCGGAGAAAAGTGGGAAGGGGAAGAGGGCTCGAATTTCGTCCACGCGTATCAGAGTGGCCCCTCGCTGGAGTGGCCGTCGGTGCGCGCCCGCAGGAGGAGGAGGAGGAGGAGGAGGAGGAGGAGGAGGAGGGAGGAGGAGGAGGAGGAGGGAGGAGGAGAGGAGGAGGAGGAGGAGAGGAGGAGAGGAGGAGGAGGAGGAGGAGTGACCGTCGGTGCGCGCCCGCAGGGGTCCCCCCAGCAGCGGCCTGCACGCTCGGGTCTCGCCCCCCCGCAGCCCCCCAGAGCCGGGCACCGGAGGCCACTCTTGCCCAGAGCGTCCCTCCTGCGTGTGGCCCGAGGAGTGCGCGGATGACCATATGATGATGGTGACGACGACGACGACGACGGCGGCGGCGACGACGACGACGATGACGGCGACGAAACTGACGACGACGACGAGGACGACGACGACGAGGACGAGGACGAGGACGAGGAGGAGGAGGAGGAGGGGGAGGAGGAGGGGAGGGGGGGGGGGGGAGGAGGATGACCAGTGTAAACCCAAGAGTCATCAACGATGTGGAATAAACCCTCTCTCCAAGCTCCCTCTTCATAGGCCCCCGCAAGGGTTTATTTTAACTGAGGGAACTGCCTCGTTGGAAGTCAACCGTTTGAAGACCCTGATGCATTCCAAATAATAGTTCTCGGGATTCCAACGCCACGGATCAACCTGACTGTTGCGTCTTAACAATCCAGAATCGTGCCAGAACGCCATTCTTGGGATTTCAACACCGCGAATCAACGTAACTGTTGCGCCCTCCTAATCCTGAATCCGTCCGAACACAATTTCTGGTACGCTGGTCATGGGATTCCGTCCAACTCTTGCAACATTTTACAACGAATGTGCGCGGCGCTATGGCGAGAGCCACATTTTGTAAAAGGAACCGCCCTCAATCCGTGAAACCAACATTCAAAACGAATGTGCGCGGCGCAGAGGCGAGAGCCACATTTTGAAAACGACCCGCCCTCAACCCGTGAAGCTCTTGCAACTGTTTAGAACGAATGTGCGCGGCGCTAGGTCGAGCGCAACATTTGGAAAACCACCCGCCCTCCATCTGTGAAAGTGTGACCAATTTTCAAGCTTCAGGGTCATACCTGGTGAGGAAATCTCAGGCGGGCCGCCCGGACCGCTTTAGGAACTGGCCTCCGGGTGCGACAGGGAGAAGTTTTTTGTGTTATAAGGACAATGAGTTGATGATGATGACGATGATGATTGTGATTGTAGTGGTGTTGATGATGGTGGTGATGATGATGACGATGACGATGACGATGACGATGATGATGATGATGATGATGATGATGATGATGATGATGATGATGGTGGTGGTGGTGGTGGTGGTGGTGATGATGATGGTGATGGTGGTGGTGATGGTGGTGGTGGTGATGATGATGGTGATGGTGGTGATGATGATGATGGTGGTGATGATGACGACGATGACGATGATGATGATGATGATGAAAATGCTTCTGATGATGATGATGGTGATGATGATGATGATGATGGTGGTGGTGGTGATGATGATGATTGTGGTGGTGGTGGTGGTGGTGGTGGTAGTGGTGGTGGTGGTGGTAGTGGTGATGGTGGTCATGATAGTGGTGATGATGGTGGTGATGATGATGGTGGTGATGATGTTGATGATGATGCTGATGATGATGCTGATGATGATGCTGATGATGCTGATGATGCTGATGATGACGAGGACGATGGTGGTAGTGATGGTTACGATGGGCATTGCGATTGCGGCGATAAGGGTGAGGGGAGCAGGAGGCACAAGAAAAAGGAACGGGCCAGACGCGCTGTGCGTCCCCATGAAGCGGGGGTTTGCGGTTGAAGCTCCAATCTCGCCCACTTTCACTCCCCCACCACCCCTTTGGAGGGCCGTGGAGTTCTGGGGCGCGCGTGGTGGATGCCATATCGCTCTACTGTGCGATAGTGGAGCCATACTCTGGATGAGGCAACAATCGCCCCCCCTCCCCCCCCTCCTGGATCCGCTGGAAGGGTTGGGCACGTGCTGTCGGAATGGGTGGAGGGCGGGTTGGAGGAAGAGGAGGAGGATGAGGAGGGGGAGGAGGATGGAGAGGGGCCGGATAGGGCAGGCTCAGTCAGAAGGTTACTCCCCCCCTTGATAAAAAACCATCCAGGGTAGGCCGAGTAGCCCATCGGAGACAGCCCCAGACAGTCTCAGCAGCCCCCAGAGCAGCGCCGAGAGGTCCCAAGGACCCCCACTTCTTGCAAGTTCTTTTGGTGCTCCCCGTCCCCCGTGACTTCGTTGGCTGCCTCATTGTCGCTCTCCTCCTCCATCTCTTCCTCCTCCTCCTTCTCCTCCGCCTCCTCCTCCTCCTCCGCCTCCCCCCTCCCCCCCCCCTCCCCTCCCCTGCCCCCTCCTCCTCCTCCTCCTCCTCCTCCTCCTCCCCTCCTCCTCCTCCTCCTCCTCCTCCTCCTCCTCCTCCTCCTCCTCCTCCTCCTCCTCCTCCTCCCCCTCCGCCACCTCCTCCTCCTCCTCCTTCACCATATTGTCTTTCAATGTGTACGGATTGACGCGGAGATGCAGGTGAGGACGAAGAACATGTATGCGACGACGGAAAGGCGGGATATGAGGCGGGGAATAGGAGTGGGGGGAGGAATGTGAGGGGGAGAGCGGCGACGACGAGGACTTTGGAGGCCTCTTGTCATGGGCACAGTCGCGGGGCTTTGGTTATGTCTTAGGGGCTTGGGCAGTGCCTACGAGAAATCGTCAGAGGTGTCGTGTGAACTTCGTGAGCGCCGGCCTCGGGGGGCCCTCTGGAAGCTTCTCGAGGGCATCTGGTTCGGGGGGCCAATTGGTGGGAGGGCTCCCAAGGCTACGTGGAATGGCCCATGTGGAGTCCCTCTGTGGGTTTTCTTTGGGGGCATCTCGGGCTGTTTTGGGTGCCTCTGGGCCGTCTTGGGGCTTTTCTGGGCCTTCATCTGGGCCCTTCTCGCTTGTTTTGTCGCCTTCTTGGGGCTCTGGGAAAGTTCTGGGCCAGGGACCATTGCAGGCCGTCTTGGATGCCTCTTTCGCCGCCTTGTTGCTCTCTTGGGTTTTGTCAGGGCCCTCTTGGGTCATCTTGTGGCCGTCTTTGGCGCTCCGGGGCAGTCTCGGGCCAGTCTTGGAGGCTGGTTGGGCTGTCGCTGGTTCTGAGAAGTATGAGTAGACGAAGAATGGGAAATGTTGAAGCACAATGGGGAATTCAACGCGCTTTGGGTCTGGGCGCTCTCTTGGGCAATCTTGCAGGGCCCTCTTTTGGGCCTCTGGCTCAGTTCTGGGAGCCCTGAAACAGCGCTTTCTATCGTTCCTGTCAAGCCCCTCCTCCCCGATTCGACCTGGGGCAGGGGGTGGGGTGTAAAGTTTCCCTCTTCTCCGAACCGGGGGTTGGGACCGGAGGGGTGGGGGGCGGTTGGCGGTTGGGACCCGGGGGGGGACAAAACTCAAACAAAGCTCAAATAATGCTCAAACAAAGGCCAAACAAAACTCAAACAAATGTAAAGCAAAGCTCAAACAAAGCTGCAACAAAGCTCAAACAATGCTCAACCAAAGTCCAAACAAAGCTCAAACAAATGTTAAGCAAAGCTCCAACAAGCTCCAACAAAGCTCAGACAAAGCTCCAACAGCACTCAAACGAAGCTCTAACAAAGCTCGAGCCCGCGCGGGCGGGCGCGGCAAGCGGGGCAAGTGGGGCAAGTGGGGCACATTTCGAATGGTGGCGCCTCACGTTGCTCCCACATTGGTACCTACGGGGAGGCCTCTGAGGCCGTCCTGGGCTGCCGGTGGTGCTGCTGCTGCTGCTAATGATGACGATGATGCGACGACGATGATGAGTTGATGACGCTGATGATGATGATGATTCTGAGGATGATTATGCCGATGTTGATGCTGCTGCTGATGCAGTTGCTGCTGATGATGACGATGACGACGATGATGCTGATGATGATGACCATGATGCAGATGACGATAATAATGGTGGTTGATTATTGATGATTGGTGATGGTGATGGTGATGATGATGCTGCTGCTGTTGATGTTGATGTTGATGCTGATGATGATGATGATGATGGTGATGATGCTGACGGTGGGGATACTGATGATGTTGATGATGATAATGCTGATGCTGATGCTGTTGCTGCTGATGATGATGTCGATGACGACGAAGATGATGATGAGGTTGGTGCTGATGATGACGATGATGATGACGATGACGATGATTATGATGACGATGATGATGATAAGTGGTGGTAGTGATCATGATGATGGTGATTTATCACTGATGATTGATGACGATGATAGTTCTGATAATGAGGATGTTGTTGGTGGTGGTGGTGATAATGATGATCATGATGATGCTGATGATGAGGATGATGATCATGATGATGCTGATGATGAGGATGATGAGGATGATGGTGCGGATGATGATGATGATGATGATGATGATGATGATGATGATGATGATGATGATGATGATGATGATGATGATGATGATGATGATGATGATCGTGATGATGATGATGATGGTCATGGTGATGAGGCTGATGGTCACGATGATGATGTTAATGCTGCTGATGATGCTGATGATGACGATAATGGTGATGATGCTGATGATGATGATGATGGCAATAAGGACGGTGGTGATGATAACGATGACGATGATGATGCTGATGATGAAGATCATGGTTGGCGTTATGAAGAATAATAAGAAGATTATGCTGCTGCTCATGATGATGATGATGATGATGATGATGATGATGATGATGATGATGATGATGATGATGATGATGATGATGATGATGATGATGATGATGCTGGCGCCCTACCACTAAGTGACGTTTTCAATGAACGTCCCGCCCGCCCGACCGGCGTCTGTGGTGTTTTTTTTCCCATCTATTCCCATCAAAGAGTGACGGTTGCATTTCATGTCCCGCCCGTCTGCCGGCCCGAACGGCGTCCCCGGTTGTTGTGATACATTTTCCCCCAATTTTGTCCCATCACCGAGTGAAGGTTGCATTTAATGTTCCGCCCGTCGCCGTCTCCGTCGCCGTTTCGGTTGTCGTCGTCGTCGTAACCTCAAACAAAGCTCGAACATCGCTGGAACAAAGCCCGAACAAAGCTCCAGCAACGCTCAAACTGCACCCAAACATAGTTCAACCATAGATCGAACACACCACTCACAGCTCAAAGAAAGCTTCATCACAGCTCCAAGGAAGCTATGAACACGCAACCAAAGCTCCAACACAGCAGCTCACGCAAAGCTCCAACAAAGTTCCATCAAAGTTTAACACACACAGCGCCAACAAGGCTCCAACAAAGCTCCACATATCGCTTCGACTTTCTTTGGGCGGGGAGGGGACCCCCCCCCCGTCCTTTCCGGTTCGAGCCCGGGGTGGGGGGAGTCTGGACCCTCACCTCCGGTGCGAACCGACGGGGATGGGGGTGGGAGTCTGTGCCCCCGCCCCCCCCCCCCCTCTGGTTCGAACCTCCCGGAGTTCCTGGCGTTGTCATTTCTTCACGACGGGCGTTTCAGCTCAATTTCGGGCCCCGGGATCCTCACGGATCGATCCGGATCGAGAAATGACGCAGAGCGATGCGGTCCGCGGGGCTCTGGGCGTGATTCTCTGCGAGGTTGCCATTTTTTTTTTGCAGCGTCGGATCTCGGGGCCCGGTTTTTCCGGGCAGGGAGGGGCTCCCCCATCCCCCCCCCGGTTCCTAGAGAAGTCAGGAGGGGAAAAAACACACAGACACAATGAATCGGCGATTCCCAGGAAATATGGGGAAATATGGGAAGTGGGGGGGAAGACAAAAACCCAGAAAATATGGGAAAATATGGGGGATAATTTTATTTGTGTGTATTTATTTGTGTGTCCCAGTTCCCCTTCAAGAAGGGCGGGGGGATTTTCTGTCTCCCCCCTCTCCCAGTTTCCCCCGGAGGGGTGGGGGTTGCAGTCGAGCGACGGTAGATTGCGCTCCCTCGGAGCTGTTAAGTCGTATCGAGGCCACCACGGGCTATCTTAATGGCCTCTTGGATAGGGTCAGAATCCTCTGGGACCTTCTGGGAGGCCAAGTTGGACTGACTCGCAGGATCTGGGTGCCGTTGGGGTGACCTGGCAGTCTCAGCCTCCCCCCCCATCAGGGGGGAATCTGCGGATACTTTGCCAGAGCCACCTGCGTGACTTGCCTTTCCATGATTACGTGAGGATCAAGACGGCCTCACGTCGGCCTCTCGCACTCCTCTTCTGGGCTCATCGGGGCTGGGGTTAGATCGGGCCTGTCCCTCTACATCAGGAGTATGGAGAAGTAGTGAAGAATAGTCTGGGGACGATTATGTGATTTTTTAAGAACCACTTTTGAATACTCTTGGGGCATCTTGTATTTGTTGTCCAAAATCCGCTTGTAGGGGGACATGCCCGACCTAAGGCTGGGGCCGTGCTGGGCCGGTCCCTGGCTGGCCTTGGGCTGCCGTGGGGCGGTCTTGGACAGCAACCGGGGCTGTCCTGGATGGTGGGGAGCTCTGGGGCCGCCTGGGCGCCGTTCTGAGGCCCTCCAGGGGACCCTCCCAGGGCCGCTGGGGCAGCCTGGAGGGGTTCTCCGAAGGGCTTAGGCGACCCGTCCTCCTCCTCCTCCTCCTCCTCCTCCTCCTCCTCCTCCTCCTCCTCCTCCCTCCTCCTCCTCCTCCTCCTCCTCCTCCTCCTCCTCCTCCTCCTCCTCCTCCTCCTCCTCCTCCTCCTCCTCCTCCTCCTCCTTGGGTCGCCTGCGGCCCCGGGGGGAAGCCGTGCAGGGCAGCCCCGGGGGGAGCCCGGCCAGTGGCGGCAGTTCCTCGGCCCTCCTAGGCTGGTCGCCCGCGTCGGCGGAGAGGGGAGGCGGCCGTCAAAGGCCCTGGGTGTGCGTCCCGCGCGCGCCCGCGGCGAGCGGGCGGCTCCTCCGCAGGACCTCGAGAGGAGGGCAGCGAGCGTCAGTCAGTCAGTCCTCCTCCTCCTCCTCCTCCTCCTCCTCCTCCTCCTCCTCCTCCTCCTCCCCCTCCTCCTCCTCCTCCTCCTCCTCCTCCTCCTCCTCCTCCTCCTCCTCCTCCTCCTCCTCCTCCCCTGTTCTCTCTCATCTCCTCCCCATCCACTCACACCTCTCTGCCCTTCCCGCGCTTCCCTCTTTCTGGGCCTCCTGGGCGGCCCTCGCCGCCACCGCTGGATTCGCCCCGAAATCCTGGTCAGAGCGCACCCTGGGAGAGGTCCGGGGAGCATAGCGGTGTTGGTACCTTTGGGTCTCCCCATCTCGAGGAGTGAAGTGAGCAATGGTCACTGTAAGGAGCCACGGGAGGCCCATCAGTGCAAACACGGTGTTGGATACTTCTGTTCTACGCTGGTGCTGTATACAGGGGCTCCCATGAGGGCGCGAAGTTATTCGCGCTTCGCGCTTCGCGGTCCTCGTTCCTTCTCCCCCTCCTCCTCGTCCTCCTTTTCTCCCTTTGGGGGGGCGGCGCGAGGGCGCGAAGTTATTCGCGCTTCGCGCTTCGCGGAGCGCGAAGCGCGAAGTTGGGAGCCCTAGTGTATACGCTAAGCTCTACAGCCCGCACTCTACTCTCTACCTTCCACTCTCCTACGCTCTGCGCCCAAATCTAATGCCCAATTCTATCGGCGAGCTGTGGGGAATAACGTAACCGCCTGCCTCTGTCGACCTCCAGCCCTGTTCGCTCAATGTTTCAGTGAGTACCGTGACTGGTTGACCAGTCGGCTGGCTGACCCGTTGACGGGCTGACAGATCTCCCCATCGTGCGATATCCTGATAGCAGCATCCAGATGCATTCTGGAATGAACCCGCCCCCCCCCTCGAAGTGCGCGAGTGTCTCCTCCTCGGGCAGCTGCTCTCTTCGTGCACCCTCCTAGCACAGCGGCCGTGCAGGTGGGCGAGATCAACTCCTCCGCCAAGGGTCTATTTCGCCTTGCCCAGCTGACCGGTGGGCTGGGGGTAGGGGGAGCAAGCTCTGTGGTGCCACGTGCGGTGCCGCGAGATACCACGTGTTGGCCCTGCGGTGCTGTGCCGCGGTGCCGTGTGATGCCGAGCCGGCGCTCTGTGCTCCGAACCGGTCGTCGGCGTTGTGTGACGCTGTGCAACACCGTGGAATGAGTTGCGCAGTGTCTGCTTGCAGTGCGGCATCTGTCGTTGGTTCCGGTTATTTCATTCTCGACGTTCTTTAGGAGACCTTGCCTTCCGACTCTCACAAGCTTGGCCGCAAGAGTGTGAGAGCACTTCGCGGCCAGGTGCTAGATGGTACACACAGCTTAGATGCAGGCAGCTTTCATTTCCCTCGAGTATTCCTACGAACATGGGTAGATTTTCAAAGCAAGCTGCCGACGCGATCAACTTCGGGTCGCGGACACCCCTGTGGGCAGAAGGGCAGGAAACGACAATCGGTACTGATTCTACAACTGTTGACTGTGTGGCGTAGCGTAGGAGATGGAGAGGGAATTCATGGCTTCACCTTTGAAATGAATTTTCTAGCTGTGCATCGGCCCGAGTCTCTTGTTAATGCAGTTGTGCGTGCGTGTTTTGCTTCTGTCGCGCCGCGTTGCTCCGACAGAACCTTCTGGCGTAAGGTGTCTGGATAAGCGGCAGCGCATGATGCGATGTCGTGTATCATCTGATTGTGCTGATCTCTAGTATTTGCATGCTCATTGCCCCTCTTCTGC